AGGTAGTAGTGAAGAGCAGCTCAGGGAGGCATGGACTGTTCTGGGCCTGCACCAAATCAAGCCATAGGTTCATCTGTTGCCTGGTGAAAAATCTAGGCGTGGGAAATTGGCAGACCTGTCCCCACCTGGTGTCCCCATCTGGCTGCATGACCTCAGGAAGGTCCCAGCCTCTTTCCTGGCCTCAGTGTCCGCATCTGCCCAATGGGAATCAGATTTCTGCATCACCCAGGGATGTGGGAGGATAAAGGGAGGGCACAAAGGGGAATCCCATGAATGTAAGAGATTATTCTCTGGGTCAGGGGAGGAGAGGAAGCGGAGGCTTCCCGTCCACCTGCCAAGCCCTCAAAGGCACAAAGGAAGGGGAGGGCGGGGCCAGGACCACCCAGGCAAGCACACAGCCATCTGCTGGACAGGCCGGTGTGTGTGGGGAGAGGCTGGGTCTCTTGGATCTCTCAAGGGCTGGAGCTGGCAGAGCCGCCACCCAGGCTGCCTGGAGAATTGGGATGTCCAGCTGGTTTCTCACACTGAGCCCTCTTAGCCTAGTCACCCTTTCAAGCCCCCAGCGTCCCCTCCCACCCCGACACACATACACACAACCCAGAGGACTGTACCACAGCAGCCCCTGTTAGCCCATCCTCCCACCAGAGCCAGAGGGGCTTCACCAGGCAAACCCAGTGATGCCCGTGCTTGCTCAAACCCTCTGACAGCTTCTCGTTGCTCTGAGAACAAACTCCAGAACCTTATTTTCAAGAAGACTTGGCCTGAGCTGCCACTTCCCTCTTCAGCATCTGCCATCCGTGTTAAGAGCCTGGACTCAGAAAGAATCCATTTTGGTGAGGATTTGGGCTCATCTCTTCACTCTTTTATTAAAAAATGTATATTGAGCACCTACTATGGGCCAGGTACTGTTCTAGGCATTTAAGACAAACATTCCTGTCTTCATAGCGTGTCCTTTACAGCAGAGGGAGGTCGACACTAAACTTAATCAGTAAGGAAATTACATAGCCTGCTGGAAGGTGACAGGCTACAGAAAAGAAGAAAAATCAGAACAGAGGAAGCTGATCAGAAGTACTGGGAGGGTGTAGGTTGCATTTATGATTAAGGTGGTCAGGGTGGGTCTCATTATGAAAGTGACACTTAAGCAAAAACTTATAGGAGGTGAGAAAGAGTCATGTAGGTAGCAGAGATAAGAGTAGGCAGAGGGGGCAGCCAGTGCAAAGGCCCTGGGGTAGGACCAAGTCTGACTTTTTTGAGAATCGCCAGGAAGTAGGAGAGAACTCAAGGAGGGAGGGTAGGTCATGTAGGGTCCTGTGGGCCTCGGTGAGGAGTGAAATGGGAGCCTTAGAGGGTTTTGACCATGAAGGTTTGGGGGAGACAGGACAGGGAAGAAGAGGAAACAGAGCAGGGTTGTGATCTCAGAAAAAGTTCTATGGGGGGACTGCTTTAGCCAGATCCTGCAGAGCAGCTCCAGGATGTAAGCTCCACCTCATTGCCACCCACCCCACCCCTGCCTTGTCACAGGCCAGGAAGATGGCTGAGATGTTAGGCTATGCTTGAAGGTTCCTCCAAGAGGCTCCAGCAGCCCGAGGGCAGTCCTCCCCAAGGAGAGATGGGGGTGGCTGGTCACTGAACCTACAGAAGTGGCTAAAAAAAAAGACTTAAGGAGAATAAATGGGCATTGTTCCTGTTGGCTCCAGTCCTCACACACCAAAGCCCCGGAAGCCACCTCCCTGGATTGGGATGGCTAAATCTGGGGACACACTCCAGAATTATGCTATGGAGGTTCTGGGTTAGAAAAGACCACCCTGCCCAGACCTTGAGCTCCTCTGCACTCTCCGGGCACCTGGTGGTCCAGCCGTGACTCCCCTGCTTGCCTCCTGTGATGGTGAGCTGGTTGCCCTGAGTTGGCTCTGTTCGTCTTCATATAGTTTGGATTTTAGGAAGTTCATTCATTCATTCCATAAACAGTGCACGAGTGAGTGCCTACTGTGTGCCCTACTGTGTACCCGGCTGCATCCTTGCATCTGGAGATACACAGTAAACATGAGAGACTCACTTCCCATCCTGAGGAGCTCATGGACAAAGGGAGAGATCCAGAGAAACAAAACAAAACAAAACAAAACAATCCATCTGATAAATGCAGAGATGGGAGAACCCAGGAAGCTGCAGGGGTCAGAAGAGATGCTGGCCTAGTGGGGGATTTGAAGAAGTTGTGCAGGTGAAAGAAAATCCATCCAGGCTGGTGGTGGAGTGTGTGCAAAGGCCCCACCATGGGTCACTGCCCCACTGTCCCTGGGTTCAGCAACCGTCCTCCTCTGGATGGTTGCAGCCACAATCCACAGGACAAAGACACCGGGAGGCCATCATTAATTCCTCTGACTTCTTGGTGGGGTTCCTTCCTGCAGGTGTTAACTCACCCGCATTCCCTACTTAACCTGCATCAGCAAGCAGAGACCAGCCACAGTCACAGGCTTGCGGTCCAGGGAGGAGTTTGTGGTTTGGGGCGGGACACTGACAATGCTGTCTCCAGCCTGGTATTCTCAACACCTCCATTCCCCCTCAGACCCCATCTCCTGCTCTCTCCCTCTCTTTCTGGCACTGGTCTCTCTGTTCTTCCAAAGGCTCATCTCAGGGCCTTTGCACTTGCTGTTCCTTCTACAGCAATGCTGTTCCCCCAGATAGCCACCTGGCCCACCATCACCTCCTCAGAGAAGCCCTCCTGAACCACGTGCAAAGTTCCCTCTCTACCTTGCTCAGTTCTGTTTTCCCCTCTAGCACTTATCACCACCTAATTTGAGGAACATTTACATGCTCCTTTGTGGATTATCTGTCTCACCCAGTGACTGGGAGCTCCTTGAGGGCAGGGACCATGTCTGGTTTTGCTCATGGCAGATTCCCTATCACAAGGCTGGGAAGTCAATACACATTTTTGAAATAAATGGATCTGAAACGTTAAGTGATCTCCAAGAGCCTTTCCGGGTCTAATCATCTTGAAGTTTTGGTTATGACAATGACTCACTTCCCCAAATTCCAGCGGCCAGGGGTGGCCTCTAAGAAACTGCTGATGTGGGAGCCTCCATCCACCCCTCTCCATGCAGACCCATCTGGCAAGGGTCAGGGGTCACCCTGTCCAGCCCTCATTCAGCCCCAAGGTGGGAGACACCTGGTGCTAGGGTACAGGCATCTCTGAGGCCCGGAAGTAAGGCTCGGCTCTCCTTGGCAAATGCCCTGCTTCCTTCCCAGGCCTGCGTCTGCATTTCTGAACCAGAAGGTGTTTACACAAAACACCCTGGGTTTGACGACAGATTCACCCTCGATGAAGAATCCTTAATGAACCTCCCTTCTTCCCCTCACCAGGCGGCTTCAGGGAGAATTAGCTGTGTCTCTGGTAGTTACAGGCAGCAGAAGGCCAGGCAAACAAGAGGTGCTACTGCGTTTCTGGGGCCACAATTTTGGCAAGAGTCCAGAGACAGCTGTGGAGTGGAGACAGCGCACTTCCAGACCCAGTCTGAGCCTGATTGGCTGTGTGACAAGGCGTTGCCCTTCTTGTCTTTTCTTTCTCTTTTCTTTTGTAACTAGGGATTGAACCCAGGGGTGCTTTACCACTGAGCCTCAACCCCAGTCCTTTACTTTTCACTTCTTATTTTGAGACAGGATTTTGCCAAGTTGCTGAGACTGGTCTCGAACTGGTGATCCTCCTGCCTCAGCCTCCCAAATCATTGGGATTACAAGTGTGCACCACCATGCCTGGTGAGGCATTGTCCTTCTGGCCTCAGTCTGCAACTATAAAATGGGGCAATAAGAATCCTGTCTAGGCGGGCATGGTGGCGCAGGCCTGTAATCCCAGCAGTTTGGGGCGGGAGGTGAGGTAGGATGATCGTGAGTTCAAAGCCAGCCTCAGCGAAGGTGAGGTGCTAAGCAACTCAGGGAGACCCTGGATCTAAATAAAATACAAAATAGGGCTAGATGAAAGAAACTCTTGCTTTCTCACTTTCCTTTCATTGGGGATGTGGCTCAGTGGTCGAGTACCCTTGAGTTCAATCCCTGGTACCAAACAAACAAACAAACAAACAAATCCTGTCTATACAAATGTTGCTGTGATTAAGTAAGACAAGAATGTGAAAGGGCGATGCTGCCAGGAGCCAAAAGAGGAGAATAAAAAGCTGGAATCAGGGAGGCAGGAGGTCAGAGTCTTCTCCTCTCTCTGAGCCTTGGATGTGGCTGCTATACTAATAAGGGGTTTAGGCATGGAGATCTTTAGGGGACTTCTATTATTTTGTATGTTTTGTTTTTGTTTTTTACAATAACAAAATGTTTATTTGGTAAAGCAAACAGACGCAGACCAAATACAAATGGCAGGAATACCAAAAGTTTAATTGACCATTTTATGTTTAAGTTCTAGATGTAACAGTGTAGCCGAAAGCCTCTGTCCTCCTCTTCTTCAATCCAATAACGAAGACAAGGTCTTGAGAAAAAGGGAGAAGAAGGTTTATTGCTTTGCTAGCAAAAGAGAAACAGAGGGCTGGGGATTAGCTCAGCTGGTAGAGTGCTTGACTTTCAAGGGTGGGGACAAAGAGATCATGAAACTGACATCTCATTAAAAGTCACATGATTCTGAAGACAAGAGAACATCATCTTTCAAGTGCTTTAAAAAAAAAAAAAAGTCAACCTACAATTCTAAACCCAATAAATTTCACTTAAAGAAAGAAAGTGGGCTAGTGGGCAGTGGCACACATATGTAATCCCAGCAATTTAGCGAGGCGCTAAGCAACTTGGTGAGACCCTGTCTCAAAAAAAGAAAGGGAAAAAAAAAAGAGCTGGGGATGCGGCTCCGTGGTTAAGCGCCCCTGGGTTCAATCCCTGGTACCGGCAACAGCGGCAGCTGGGAGAGTCGTGCCGTCCCGGCCTGCAGAGGGCGCTTCAGACCTACCCCACGCTAGGCCCCGCCTCTCGGCCCCGTGCGTGAAGTTTGCGCGTCACCGTTCTTTGAATTGCGCAGGCGCGCCGGAAGCCCTCTCCAGCGGCGCTTGCGCGGACGGGGCCTCGGTGCGGCTTGAGTGGAGCTTGGGGCCTGATCGGATCCGTGACCGGAGCTGTCAGGAGCCATGCTGTCACCGGAGGCGGAGCGGATCCTGAAGTACCTGGTGGAGGTGGAGGAACTCGCCGAGGAGGTGCTGGCGGATAAGCAGCAGGTGGGAGGCCATCCGCGGCCCTGGGCCCAGCGGCGAGGCCGTGCGGAAGTGCGCGGGGGGCAGTGAGTTGGCCTGGGCTGTGCTGTGGCCCAGCGGCTGCGCCGACGTGGGTCCGTCGCTCGGCCTGAGCCCTTTTTTGGCGGGCGTTGGTTAAGAGGGCATTCCCGTTCTTGTCCCTCTCTGGCCCCGCGGGCTCCCCAGCATCCCTTTCAAAACGCAGTTCTGAACCCCTTGGTGGATTTCAGTGCTGCACCCGATCAGGGCTCCGAGGGGACAAGACGAACACGGAAGAGGCCCGAGGGGCCTTGTGATTCGGCTCGAGAGGAAACGTTAGGGCCTGGTAGACCCGCACAGGGAAGTTTGGGTGGGTCTGGTTCATAATTTTAATGCTTGAAGGTAGTTCATAGGTTGGGGGTCTGGTAGGTTTTAAAGGATCCCTGTGACTGCTGCGTGCAGTGCACAGTATAGTGGGGGCGGAGACAAGGGTGGAGGCAGGGAGACCTGCAAGGGGCCGTCGTCCTAGCCCAGACTCGAGATGGATCTAGACCAGGTGGTGGTGGTGATGTTAAAAAGGGAATGGATCAGAAACATATTTTGGAGACGGACTCAGTAGGCTGTGATAATGTCTAGATAAAGGAGTGACTGAGCCATTGGAATCAAGTATGGTTCCTGAATTCCTCACATCTCCAGTGAGAACACATGAGAGGGGGTCAGGTATTCACTGAGAAGAAGAGGGGCTTGGGAAGAGCCTGTCAAATTACTGTTTAAAGGTCTGCCAAATGAGAATCAAAATAGCAGCTAAAGTTTATCATGCACTGTGTGCTAGGTACTGTGTTAGCTTATTCAATTTCTTGTTCAGGTACCTACAAGGTAGGTTCTGTTCATAGCTCCATTTGGTGGGGTGGTGCACCAGGGATTGAACTTTGGGGCACTCAATCACTGAGCCACATCCCCAGCCCTAATTTGTATTTTATTTAGAAACAGGGTCTCACTGAGTTGCTTAGCGACTCACAGTTACTGAGGCTGGCTTTGAACTGGTGATCCTCCTGTCTTAGTCTCAGGTGCTGCTGGGATTACAGGCTTGTGCCACGGTGCCCAGCTCTTTTATTATTGGGTTTCTTATAATACTAGATCAGAATTAACAAGAAGAGCTTTTCCGAAAACAGAGCTTCTTAGGTCTGCTTAATTACAATGTCTGGGGAAAAGGTTTCCACTCCATGGTAATTCTGATATATCCACAAGTGTGAGTGGATAATATAAAATCACCCACTTAGTCAGTGAATGTTTTCTTAGCACCTTCTGTGGGGACTAGATACCTGCACAAGGCCTCATCTTTAAAGACCTGGAAGTTGAATCCAGTTTAGGCAGGATGTTATCTTCGCAGCCCCTCATCTGTTGAGAAGAGACAGGTTGGGGCAAGAGACAGCTAAGTTTTAGTCTGCTCCTGTTTCAGATTGTGGACCTGGACACCAAAAGGAATCAGAACCGAGAGGGCCTGAGGGCCCTACAAAAGGATCTCAGCCTCTCTGGTAAGTTGAGACTTCCTTACCTGGAGATCTATTCAGTCTTTGAAGTCGTTCACCTTGTCCTTGTTAGATATGGGGCAGGAGGCCACAAATGTGTGTGATTCAGTCTCATGGGAAATTAAAACAAGTCTGTGGAGGTGAAGGAGCATATGTCACTGTTCGATAGGCCATTATTAGCTCTTGTCTCACTGATGATGGTAGACATTGAGACGGGGGATATATATAAAAATGACGGTTTAGGCCCTTGAGTTGTACAGATAAGAAAAACAACATAAGATATATAACTGGAAATTTTGCAAAAGCTAAAGACAAGATTGGATGTGGGTAGGTATTGAGACTATCCAGGAGGAAGGGAGGGGGTGATATTCTTTGGATAAGGCCAGATGGCTGTGGCAGAGTAAGTAAGAGGGGCAAGGTGTGAGATAAGCTTGGAGATGGGCAGCAATCAGGTCATAATGAAAGGCCTTGGGGCCAATGGATACATTTGCATTTTGTTTAAAGTTTAGTAGCATGTACAAAACCTTCCAGTTGCTTTCTATCTCACCAGAGTACCAGAGTTGTCCCTACAAGACTCCATGCAACCCAGCCCCCATAAACATTCCCCCCACCCCCACTCATTGACTCACACTGTCTTTGTTGTTCCTAACACCAAGCACACTACAGATCTTTGCTGTTCCTGTTTCCTCTGCCTGACTCTCTCTTCCCCAGATGTCTGCCAGGCTTACACCCTCACTTTCTTCAGTTCTTTGTCAGATATCACATCATCAGTGAGGCCTGTACCACCTGGTATGAGTAATGCATCCTCTCCCTAGTATTCCTCTTAACTGGCTTTCTTTTCACACCAGCTCTTATCAGGCTCTAACAAATCATAGTTATTCCCTGCCATCTACTATAACACGAGCTCCATGATGGTAGGAGCCCTGTCTTCTTTTGCTGTGTTCTCAGCATCTGAAACAATGCAGCAGATAATAGGTGCTAAAAATAAATACTTGTTAAAAAAATGACTCTTTTTTATTTCAGAAGATGTGATAGTTTGCTTTGGGAACATGTTTATCAAGATGTCTCACCCTCAGACGAAGGAAATGATTGAGAAAGGTAAGGCCACCAGAGGATAGGGATGTGGCTGCCTTTCACATCAGCTGAGCTTTAACCCAGGCAGTGTGATGGAGGGCAGCTCTGCTACAGGGTTCAGACTGATGTGTGTTTTCATCCCTGCTCTGTCACTATGGGCTATTTCCTCATCTGTAAAAGGGGACACATCCAAATAGCACAGTTAAAAAGTTGAGATGAAATAGCATATGTATAGCATAGTGCTTGTTTATAAGCTGGGTTACAAAATACAGAAGACCCAACAAATTGAGGCTTAAGGAACTGTGATTCTATTTTTCCCATGTAGGAAGTTGCCCAGAAGACTGCCACAGCTGCCCAGCAGTGGCACTTTAGTATATTCTCATGTCACCGTTATGGGCCTCATATCCCATAATGTGCCAGACTGAAGGAAAGGCAGATGACCCTCTACATATGGCCTTGCATTCTGTTTGGAAGTAAGGCCATCCTCCCCAGGGACTTCCTGACAATACCTCATTGGCCGAGGCCATCCATAGCTAAGTCACAAGCCTACTCATAGTTGCAAGTGAGCTTTGTGTTTACGTCCCCTGCAGTAGAGACTGGTTGAAAACAGAAGTTTGGGGAGAGCAAACCTCTAGTGTCTGCCACAGCCTGGGCACCTAACGTGTTGTTTCCCAAACCATGAAAATTCTGAAAACTCTGGAGAAACATCATAGAAGCCAAAAGGCTTTGTAAACATGGGTTCTTGACTGGGAAAACATTACACATATTTCTCCTTATCTTTGAAATCATATGGACCAACAGGATCAGCAAGGTTGCCTCGGTTCCTGAAGACAGAGTGTCTTCTTTATACATACCCTTTGAAACCAAAATTCTCAGGAAACTAGATCAAGTCTATAAGAGTTTCCAGCTTTTGTTTGAAAAACACAGTCACAGTGTGGTTAGATAAAGAGTTCCTGTGCTTGGTGGTGGGCCGGAAGCTGCTCAGGCTGAGCTTTCAGCAGGGCCACTTATCTGGGTTTAGGATCTAATTCTGGGTTCTGTTGGCCCACAGATGTGATCTAGTCACTGTACCTAGAGAGGTTCTAGGACATATCAATGTTCTCAGGGATATACACTGACTAGACGGACTCAGGAGACACTATTTCCTATTTACAATGAGAAACAGAACCATTGAACCAGATGCAGCGGTGCTCACTTGTAATTGCAGTGACTTGGGAGGCTGAGGCAAGAGGGTCTGAAGTTCAAGATTGGCTCAACAACTTAGTGATACCTTGTCTTAAAATTTTAAAAAAGGGCTGGGGATGGAGCTCCGTAGTAAGTCACCCCTGGGTTCTATCCCTAATACTGGGGGTAGGGGAAAGAATAAAGAGGATCATTGTCTAGAGCCTGAAGCTTGGCTGTCCAGGGCTTCTCCCCAGCCAAAAGATCGAAAGTCTGAGGGAAGACAGATTAGCCAGAAAGTTACCCATAGCAGGTGGGATTTCATAACATTTGATAGATGGTTAAAATTTGAGAGCTGCTTCTGTCATGTACAACTTCTTAGGTTCATGTCACCTAAGAAGTGAGTTGGGATCACTTTCTCTGTCCTCAAGGTTAATTATATTAAGCTGAAGCATTAGAGTTGCCCATTGATTGTTCAGGTCACACATTTTCTAAGAATCCCTAACCTTGATGGAATCGGGTTTGTAAAATTCGTCAGTCATCTATTTTCCAGCCATCAAGGTTGGCTAGATCCCTCATTTTGTTTCTCACATTTAAATCTTCCCTTGCTCACTGAGGGCCGGTGGCCTGCCGTGCTGAGGTGGCCTAGCCATCCACTGGCCACCTCAGTGTTCTTTGCATAACGAAAAAAAGATGATTAAACCAGGAGTCGGGGAACTGGATGCCTAAGCCTCGTCATGGGCAGGTCATGTTCGTCTTGCCTTTAGCCCTTCCTCAGTTGGTTTCTGAGGTCCCTTTTTCTTTCCCAAATTCTCCCATCTTGAGGGGGTTAGGGGGAGGCTGGGTTTCTCTCTAATACAGCCTCATTTTTTCAGATCAGGACCGCCTGGATAAAGAAATAGAAAAACTCCGGAAACAACTTAAAGTGAAGGTCAACCGCCTCTTTGAGGCCCAAGGTATTGCCCTAGGGGACCTGGAACCAGGAGGGGAGGGAACCATCAGTCACACTTGGAAGGACAGGATGGACAGTGATGGGAGCTTCATGTGCTGAAGTAGTGGTTGTAGCCACCCAGAGATAAAATGGATAGGGAGGTTTGTGGGTCTTTTAACTCCTGTCTTAGCTTCTTTTCCAGGCACCAGAAACTGCCTGGGGTGATGTAATATCATATGCCAGCACTTGATGTAGGGACCATGATAATTCTGACCCAGATAACTCAGGTGGTAGGCTGGGGCTGGGGGGTCAGTGGTAGAGCGCTTACCTGGCACATGTGACACACTGGATTCGATCCTCAGCACCACATAAAAATAAGTAAACAAAATAAAGGCCTGTGTTCATGTACAACTAAAAAGTCAATTAAAATTAATTTTTTTTTTTTTTTTTTTGAAGCTCAGGTGGTGAAGGTCAGAACTAAAATCCTAGGTAAACCTAAGCTTTTCTGTGATGGGGTCTGGCATAAATCTGTAGTTCTGTAGGCAGCAGCTGTGACTTTGCAGGTTCTTGAGGCCCTGGAGCTGTGTTGCTGTGCATCCTCTAGTGCGCTGCAGAACCCGAGGCCCATCCTGTCAGACAGGCTGTTTGGCAGCATTAATGCAGAGTTAGCCGCTTTCCTGGGCCTGACTCCAGAGCCAGCAGTAGGTTGGGCAGCAGGAAGCACAACTTGCTCATGAATTCTTCTCCCCCCAGGCAAACCGGAGCTGAAGGGTTTTAATCTGAATCCTCTCAACCGGGATGAGCTTAAAGCTCTCAAGGTCATCTTGAAAGGATAAGACTCAAGTACCAAGATGGGGGACCTATGGACCAGCATCCAACCCTCCAACCTTGAAACCTGCAAGGACAGGATCAGCCCTGTAAGGGCACGGGTGTCAGAAATATGGCTATGGCTCCTCTATGAAGCCTCTGTCTGCAGCACTTGGCTGCTGTGGGATCCCTCAGCTTGTCCCTCTCTACTGTCTGACCACTGAGGCTTGGTGGACACAAGACCTATTGACAGGCCCTTCTGCTACCAGTAGGTGTGTGGGGGTGTTGAATGACCGCAGCAGGCACTTCTCAACAATGGCCTGCTGTCCAGATGGGCCCTGGGTAGGGAGAAGGGAGAGGTGGAGCGCAAGCTCCTGCCAGCATTCCTCTAGAAGGGGGGAGGCCTTTTCAGGCAGCATGTGTAACAATGGAAGGAAAGCAGGAGGCTGGGCTGGCAGGTGGCTTCTGAATGAAGCTCGGACTCTGTTCATCACCGCCATCCATGAGGCAGACCCATGTTTCCCCCACCTCCAGTTTTGTCCTTCCTGCTGGCTTTCTGGAGCAGGTGCTGCTTATCAAGCCCCACAGCTGCTCTCAGTGGGGCCTTGCAGAATGCATTAGGGAGAGCTTACCTCCTAGCTCATGTTCATATCTAGTGCCTCTGAAAGCTTTTAAAGGCAGTGGTGCTGCTCAGACTTGGCTTCTTCCTGGCCTGAGATGTTAGGATAGCTGTGCTGTGAGGACAGAACTGTCCTTTGTGTTTATTGAAGGATCAATAAATGTTAGCTGTACAAACAAGTAGTTTCTAGTTGTCACTTCATTCAGTCTTTCACTGAGGACATAGCATTCCTTTTAAAATATAGTTTATGAAGGGAGGAGGCCCTTCCCTTAAAATGATACCAGGCTCAAACAGGTAAAAAGTAACAAATGAGGTGTTGCACTTCACACGGTCCCCTCGCTCCACTTGGCCCCAAGTGATGGAAGAACATGGGCCAGTATGGCCAGATCATAAGACTTCCAAGAGGAGCTAGAAATCAGGTGATTAGGTTGAATCTCCTGTTTTTTAAATATTGCTGATCAAATGTTTAGAAACTTGAGTTTCAGTCAGGTAAAACACCTTATGGAAGCCAAATCTGACCCAGACCTGCAATTCGCATCTCTGTGTAGAAATCCCTGTTTTCCCTGTAATAACCCTGAGACGTAAAAGGTGGAGTCGAACAAGCTCCACGTCTGTTCGCAGGGGACTAGTTAGAGGAGTGAGTAGTTCCAGAGTGGATAGCCACATGGCTGTGAGCAAGGAGAGGGAACTTGGACCCCAAGGTAGAACAAGTAGCAAGCTACACTAAGAAAAGCAAGAGGCAGAACAGGTGTGTCCGGCTGTGTGTCGACACTATGTGGTTCCCTCAAGGAGAAACTAGGGTGGGCACAAGGGTGGGAGGGAAGGTGTCACTGTTTACCCTTTTTTGTAGATTTTGAACTTTATGTAAATATATTGCATATTTTAAAATAGAAATGTAAAGGTAGGAGTTGCAGAATTAACTTTGGTATATGCCGTCTGGTATGACTATCTGGCTTACAGTGTCCCCTTTGGAACATTGCTCCTGCTTGCCTGGTGGGTGGGTGCCCCAAAAAGCCAATCAGATTCTTTTTCCTGGAAACAGGAAACCTGGAGCCCATGCCTTGAGTTACACAGCCTTGCCACTCAGGGATGAAGGGAAGTTCCCCTCCTCTGGAGGCAGAAGGTCCAAAGCTGGGTTCTTGGCCTTTCCAAGACCAGTTGGCTCACTTTTTGAATTGCTGTTATTTTTCTTCCCCACATTTGCAGCCAAAACAACCCAGAAATGGAGAGTTAGAGGGAGCCACCTGGATCCCTGGGTAGGTAGGTCCCCATGGAGCAGTTAGCCGACCAGTCAAGGTTGTTGTAACCCCTCTGAAACCAAGAATAGAATTTGGACTGGAATGTCGAAGGCGGGGGTGGGTAGGGATGCAGAATATTTTACTTGTACCCAGTTCCCCAGGCAATCTTGTTTACCAGCCCAAGGATTTCTGGTTTTCAAAACTCAGCTCCCAACTCAAATAGGAAGCCCCAGATAGGTGCCTAAGGCACCTAGATGACAGACAAAAGCATTTTGGGGTGAAGGGGTGCTGGAGATTGAACCCAGGGGTGCTTGATCACTGAGATGCATCCCCAGCCCTTTTTATTTTGAGGTGGTCTTGGATAAGTTGCTTATGGCCTCACTTAGTTGCCGAGGCTGGCTTTGAACTCAAAATCCTCCTGCCGAGCTTCCTGAGCCACTGGGATTACAGGCATGTGTCACCACTCCCAGCCACAAATGCATTTTTGAAGAGGCACTAAGCAGCTTTACCTTCCCAACCCTCATCTTTTCCATCTGAAAAATGGGCATACTGGCTTTCAGATGGTGACCAGGGAAATCCATGGGTTCCACTGAGAAGCAAGGTCACTGTGTTGCAAAAAGGAGGGCTCAGCACTTCCCCAGACACCTAGTAAACACAATCTAATAATTGCTTGCTTTGCAAGAACAGTTTAAAGAAATTCCCTGGAGCCTGAACTCTTGATCCAAGGGACCCTTCCAGCATGATCTGAGAGGCACCAAAATGCCAAAGCCAGCCAAGCCTGGTGGTGCACACCTGTAATGCCAGCTACTTGGAAAATGGAGGCAGGAGCATTGCAAGTTCAAGGCCAACTTTGGCAACTTAAATAGACCCTGTCTCAAAATTAGAAAAAAAGGACTGGGGATGTGCTCAGTGATAGAGCACCCCAGGTTCAAGCCCCAGTACTGCCACATTAAAAAAAAAAAAAAAGCCAAAGTTCAATGAACCTGGCTGCAACCAACAGCCTCCCCTGAGCCAGACCCAGTACCCAGTGACTTTCCTCCAAGTAAGGCCTGTGCTCATTTATTAGATGTGATCTCTCTGGGGTAGCAGAACTTGCTGCACTTGTCTTCTTTGGGTCCATTCACCAAGCCAGTCTGTCAAGGTTAAAGCCCCTCCAGTCCCAGGGATTGGCTGTCTCCTGGTGCAAAGAAGCCGCAGGGTTGGGGTAGGGATCCAAGGGGCCCATCCAAGCAGCAAGCAGAGGCTGCTTAGCCAGCAAAGCTGCTGCCAAGCTGGAGGGAGGGAGAGAGGGAGGGGGAAGGCCGCAAGGTACCACTGTGCTGGAATCTGGGGTGGCACCTTGCAGGGCCTCTTGGCTCCCCATGGCAGCTGGGGTCAGCTGGATGCTTTCTTCTGGGCTTGGAGGGAGCGGAACAGCTGCCTCAGCTGTTTTTTCCGATCGTTGACGCAGCCTGGAAGGGAAGTGAGATGTTGGCTGGGATGCTGTTCTTGCGGGGAGTGGAGGGCCCCATGCACCCATTAGGAGGGAAGAGGGGACAGCAGGAGTTGTGCAGCCACACGTGGCCAGGGTTTGCATCCTGGCTCCACTCCTGAGCTGCCAGGGCCCTCAAGCAGTCATTTACCTCTGTGAACGTCAGTTTCCTCAGTCAGGACAATACCACCCACCTTGCAGAGAGAACATAAGGACCCGGCAGCAAGAGCTGAAGCTGGCTGGCCTCCAGCCAGGTGCTGCAGGTGTCACACACGCATAAACATCTTAAACCCTCACAGAGCCATATGCAGACAAGAAAGTGGAAGCACAGAGAGGCCATGTGCCCCAGCTCACACAAGCGGCCCCGTGGGGACTTGAACCCGGGCTCTCTGGTGCTGGAACGAAGCTCATAACCACTGTCCCACCCACACTCACTTTAGTCCTGCTGTAGCTCAGTGAAGATGCATAAGGCTAGCACAGCATCTGAAGCCCAGGAAATGCCAGCTTTCTTGCCCTACCCAGCCTGTGTGCCAGGCACAATTGGCTAAGAGATGCGTTGTCCCCCACAAGTGGCCCCTGGCTCACCAGAATGTGTCCCTGGGCAGTCCATGTCGAGGCCACCTCCCAGCATGTTCACGGCGTGGCCTGTTTCTGCCTGCTTTCACAGCTGATCCTTAAGGCACCTCCACACTCATTTAATCTGTGCCAGGCATATTGATGGCACTCATCAGTGCTGCCTGAATGACTTGGCCACAGTACTGACCTGGAGGTACCTGCCATCTTAGCACTCAAACCCCTGCCGGTCATCAAGGCCTCCCTGAGCTGAGAGCCCACTATGTCTATCTGGCCTTAGGATTTTCCAAAGTGAGTCCCCTGGAACCCTACCTTAACTGTCTATCATTGGCTCATTCATCATGCCAAATCTTCCTGCCAGTGCAAACCCCTTTTTACAAGTTGCAGACTGATCTCTTATCTGCTGACCTTGTCATCCAGATATCCCTGAGCATATCCCTAACTCAGTCCTCAATTATCTTCCTCCTGCCCCCAACCCCCACCTCCTGTGTTTACCACCACCCACCCAAATACTCAACTGGAAACTTGGAATAATTCTAGAGACTTTTAAAACAGTGGCTCTCTACCTGCACTGAGTCATTGGGAGGTTTTTAAAATGTCAATGCCCAGTCCAACCATATCTTTATTTCTGATAGGCATATATTTTTTAAAGTTCCCAAGTGGTTCTGATGTGCCACTCAGGTGAAGAACTACTGTGCCCTCCCTGGGCTACCCAAACAGGTGCCCAGGAGCCAGCAGCACTGGTATTGGGAGTGTTTTGCCCACAGAGATGGCTGCGATTTTCCCCATTGCTACACATACCTCTGTGAGGTGACTGCCACTCCTCTCATCAAGAGGGGGTCTATTTCCTCACTCTGCAATTCTGGGATGGCAGAGCAAATTGAATTGAGCAATGGATGGCAGCAGAATGCCAGTGTGAGATGTCCAAGCCTCGTCTCAAGAGGCTTTACCTTGTCTTCTCTTGGAACCCTGGGACTACCAGGGGAAGAAGCCAGGGACAGGCTGTTGGCCACATGAAAGAGGCCCAGCTGACAGCTAGTATCAACCCTCAATTGGGATAATAAGATTCTCCTGGCTCATTGTGTCCCAATAAAGCTGCCAGGGGCCTGCAACCCATGAGTTACCCCAGGAGAGACTTGAAGAATCATGAAGAAATAGTCATTTGAAGCCGCTGGGTTTGGGGAGGGCTGGTGACAGCATAGTTAACAGAGCATCACCTGAGAGCCTTTCAAAAATGCAGCTCTCAGGCCCCAGTCCTTACTGAATCCTAATACATATTTTAACAAGATTCCCAGGCATTACAGTCTCCACCAACAAGGCAGCACGGCAGACACTGGGGCTCCATGTGGAAAGGCTGATCACAAGCCCCCTCATCTTTGCCTTCATCAAAGCAAACTGTTTGTTCCAAACTTGTAGCTGGGGTGGCCATGTGACCCAGTTCTGGCCATTAAGATGCCTTACAGGTCCCTGGAAGGGCTTCCCTTTTGGAATAAGAAGTTGATGCCTTTAGGACTTTTCTGTCTTCCCTCCTGGGACAAGGCACACAGTGTCTGGAGTTGGTGCAGCCATTTTTGCAACCATAAGACAATAACTATGAACACCAGACCAACTGGTTAGTATGGCAAGGCAGAAAGAAGAAAGAGCTGGATCCTCAGGGTATCACACAGCCATGTGTCAGCCCTGTGTGGCCTACCCAAGACTTCTGTGGCTCAGACAAGCCAGCCCCTCTCTATTAGTTGGCTTTTTAGTTGCATGCAGCCAAACCTGATCCTAAGTCCTACCTACCTAAGTCCTAAAAAAGATAAAAAGTTTCATCAAAAAAGAAAAAAAGTCACCATGAAACAAAACTTTAAAACAAATGACAAACCCAGGGAAATCTTTACAGTAAGTTTGACACAGGGGTAATGTCTCCAACACATTAATATCCAAAGCTTTTATAAATTGAAAAAAAAAAAAAGCTATAAGCAACCCATAGAAAAATAAAGAGCATGGATAGCTTACAAAAGAAGAACTGCAAATTTAAGAAACTGAAACCTCACCGGGATCAATGGAGTGCACATAAAACAATAATGTGCCACTGCTTTTTACCTATCAATTGGGTTGGCGGAGACTTCTAAATTACAAACTGGCAAATTGGCGTGATCTTTCTGGAAAGCAGTTCGGTTGTAATACGTTCATTCCTTTGGCCCTGTAAGTCTGCTTCTAGGAATCTGCCCTAAGGTAATAGCCAGAATTTCAGTTGGGTTATGGGAGAGGAGTCCATTATGATATTATAAAAGTAAAAAGTTAGACTTGTGCCAAATGGCCAATCAGAAGAGACTGGCTTGGTGAATTTGGGCACACACGCAAACTCAAGTATTTCGCAGCTGTATGGGAGTTTTAACTAAGAGGTCAGGAGAGTCCAGCAGTGAATGTTCGGGCCTTGGGGTCACTAGAGTTCAAGTCTGACTCATCACTTAAGACTGAGGCCTCCAGCAACCCATGACCCATCTGGAGACCATTTCCTCATCTGTAGAACGGTAACAAAACTCACCTAAAGATACAAGATAATGTGTGTAAAGGGTTTAGTCCAGACCTAGCCAAAAAATTCTTCCAAATGGGAGGCTTAATATTCTTGAATGGGAGATGCTGGACTCAAAATTCCAGCCCAATGCCAATTTTATAGAAGAAAAAGTATGAATATATGCATTTTTTGTAAAACTCAAAGGAAACACGCCAGATTGTTAAAGATGGTTATGTCTGCATGTTTTTTTTTAATTTCCTTCTTTAGTTTTCAAATATTCTACAATGAGTGTGAATATATATGTGTGTGTATGTGTGTGTGTGTGTGTGTGTGTGTATTTTTTTTCCCCAGTACTAAGGATTGAGTCAGGGGTATCCTAACCACTAAGCTACACCCCTAGCCCTTTTTATATTTAATTTCAAAGCAGGGTCTAAGTTTCCCCCACTGGCCTTGAACTTGCAATCCTTTTGTCTCAGCCTCTCAAGTCACTAGGATTATAGAGGTGCACCTGGCTGTGTGAATAATTTTTGGTCTTTTTTTTTGGGATTGAACTCAGGGGCACTCAACCACTGAGCCACATCCCCAGGCCTATTTTGTATTTTATTTGAGACAGGGTCTCAAATAGTTACTTAGCGCCTCTCCGTTGATGAGGCTGGCTTTGAACTCAGGATCCTCCGGTCTCAGCCTCTTGAATCACTGGAATTGCAGGTGTGTGCCACCATACCTGGCTGTGTGAATAATTTTTATAATCAAGAAAAAAATTTCACTTTTTAGAAACTAGCTTAAAGCCAAGGCCTGAGGCCCTTAATTTCTCTTAATGACATTATGCATTTTTTCCATTGGTTTTCCACTTAAGCCTTTTGAGATCCGCCTCCTGACAGATTAACAATGTCTCGCTGTGTGCCAGACAGTGTTCCAGGCATACACGGGAACTGTTCCTCTTAATTCCACAGATGAGGACCAGGCAGGTTGACTCCCTTGCCTGGGGTCACAGAGCTGGTGAGGAGCAGACTGATTCAGACATTCCAACTGCTCCTTGAGGCTGCCTCTAGACAACCCACCACCTCCTGGCACAGCCCTGGTGCCCACGCCCCACCTGGCACGACATACCGAGGTGTGTGTTGGTCACAGAGTTTCCCATCCCTGACAGGTCAGCAGCCCCCTCCTCTCTGCTGACAGGGCCATCATTCCACATAAGGTCAAAGCCTCCGACTCGCTTTTCCCTTCCTGTGAGCCTGCACAGGCAGAGACACGAAGGTTAAAGAGGCCAGGACCCAGCCCTCTCTCAACCCCACTGGTGTCCACCCTGTCAGAAGCCCTTTTTTTGGTCCAACCATTCACTGTCTGTTCCCTGGACCCCACAGTCTCTAAGAGGTTGAACTCTATTTTTATGCTGAGGTCCCCACACTTGCCCTCAGGAAGATGCACCCAGTTGTGATTTTCAGTTTAAAGTCTGTTTTCCTCCCCAGACCATAAACACCACAAAGCCAGGGGCCAGGTCTGCCATCTTCATTACCGTATTCCTAGTGTGTGGCCCAGGGTCTGGCACACAATAGAGTCTCAAATGTTTATTGAATGAATAAGTAATGGTAGGTTTAGTGGATGCCTGAGGTTTTCTCTGCTCAGCATCCATTTCACTTTCTTTCAGTCCAGTGGTGCCTCTGCTTTTCTTGAAGAGTCACCCCTCTCTCCCTCACCCCTAGGCCTCAGGTGGGTTGCTCCTACCCCCTGGTCTATCAGAGTTACAGTGATTGGTTCAGGAATGGGCATTCTCACTTCCAGCATTGAGAGTTGGCCCTCCAACTTTTGCTGGAATAATTGGGAGAAAGCTGATACAGAAGAGTGGAGGTGGGCAGAGAACAAGTGTGTGAGTGTGTTTGTGCAAGAGAGGGAGGGAGACCAACCAACTAACATTGACTAAGTACCTGATGCACCCATTCCTGAAGCTAACCCTGGGTCCTTCCCATTACATAAACATTGTTATAACAATAAATAGTCTCTTATTGGGGCAGTTACTGTGAGCTAAGCATCTTGCAATAAATGATCTTAGTAAATTAAAATAACCCTGAGGGACAGTCATTTCCCATTTTACCTCTGAGGAAACTGAGGCTCAGAGAGGTGAAGTGATTGGTCCAGGGTCCCATAGTTAGGAAATTTTGAATAAATCCTGCTAGACTGAGTCTCAGAAAGCTGCGGATGGCCTTGCTCCCTTCTGGAGAGGCCGAGTCCTTGGGCCAGGACCTGACCCTGTGTGGACATCCATAAAATGTGGGGCCATCCAAGGGCCTGAGTTCTCTTCCCTGGTGGAGCGCCGGCTGCCTCGGCCAGGGCTGCCTCACCTGGCCTCCATGTCCACCACGTGCAGTGTGTCCTGCAGGAGTCGGGTCTTGAGCTCATAGTCCTCCTGGCTGCTGGCCGTGAGTGACGGGGATGCGTTGACCTCCAGGAGCCACCTGGGGAGGAACGGGAGGGAGAATCTGAGGATTTCCCTGAGGCTAGATGCGGTGCCTGGGACCCACTGTCACTCCACCCAGGCTGCTCCGTCTTTCCCTCTGAAGAAAGGGAGCTTAGAGCAGCGGAGCCGGCCCTGGGCGAGGGGGACCGTGGGGCCCTCCTGCTGGTGATGCTTTTCCTTTTCCAGTGGAGACGTGAGTGCAGGAAGATCCCTTCGAGAGGGAAAATTTGCCAAGGCTGGCAACTGACCTGCCGGGTCAGGGGCTAGGCAGGCGGGGATGGGGGTGGGAGGTGGCGGGAGACGGCATCTAAAGGGAGAGCTGTGGGCAGCTGCAGGACAGCGTTGCCCCAGGGGAGCGTGAGCCCAGAATTATGAGATCATCTGATTTTTCTAGAAAAGCCCCAAATCCTGATTTTTAGGTAAACATCTCCCAGATTTTGTCAAAAAAATTAAACACAGAAACATTCTGAAGATCAAACCTAAAATACCTGTATCTGCAGGTCCCAAACAGCCCAGGACCTCCAGTTCCCTGGAGCCCACATGGGTCCGGAGGTTTTGTGCAGCCTGGTCATTTTACAGACAGGAAGCTGGGGCACAGGAAGAGCAAAGGGCTCCCCCCCTCCCAGCTTGTTCCCGCCTCAGTCTACCCTAATGATGCAGCCAGAGCTCGCTGCCAGGGGCAAAGGAGAGAGACCGCTGGGTGCTGGGACTCAGTGTCCCTTTAGCCAGGAGCTGACTCAGGTGTCACTACTCCTGGCTCTGAAAGCCCACAGCACCTCTGGAGTGACCTTGGGCAGGGGAGTGGCCTCCTGCATCCAGCAGTGCTGGTGGGGAGCAGCCCAGCCCGGGCACTTGATCCTGAGCTTCATTTTGCCCTTGACTCGCCGCTGACCTCCCCCTCCCCCAAGCCGACAACCCACGGGTTCCCATGTCCTGTCGTGTCATGTGAGGCCATCGCTCTGGTCCCTGCCAGCTCTAGCTTGTTCTCCTCGCCAGCTCAACCCCCTCCATGGGCAAGAATGCACCACATTCTTGGCAGGAACAGCCACCGTGACAATATTCCCTTACGTGGCACTTCACATCCTCCAAGTGCCAAGACTTCCAGAGGGGAAGTGTTTTGCCGGGTATGAGGGGAGCACCCCTCACTCTGCCCACCAACAGGACAGGCTTCCCAGAGCCAGCACCAAGCCCCGTGTCCCACAGACAGCTCATTTGTCCCTCCTAGAGGCACAGCAAGGTGACCAACCCTGTTTTACAGACTGGCAAACTGAGGCACAGAAAAAAAGAAGTGTGTCCAAGGTCACACAGCCAGGAAGTGGCCGAGCTGGGCTCCCAGACCAGGGTGCCCGCGTGTAAAGCCAGACCCCAGGCCCGGCCGCCCACTTACGGCTTGAGGTCCTGGTCGATGAGGATGTCGTAGCCGTACAGCTCGAAGCAGTGCTTGTCGCTGATGATCACCTTCTGCACACTCTGCAGGCTCTTGATGAAGATGTTGTCCATGTCGTGGAAGAGCGCCTCCACCGCCTCGGGCCCGTGCCTGGACGCCAGGTACTGCCGGAAGCGCTGCAGCATCCACTTGCAGCCCTGGGACCCGGGCAGTGGGGTTGGCAGAGGAACTTGAGCCACCGGGATCCGCCTGCCACGACCCTCCTGCGAGCCCATCGGCACTACCCTAGGCCTGGGCAAGGGGGGCCTAGCCCTGAGTCCCAGGATTAGAACAGCTAGAGTGTACCCCCCTCGTGGGTGGAGATTCTGATCACCCATAACTGGCTACCCAGGCCCCCAGAGGCCCCTGCCCTGATGGCCGGCACAGGCCCTCTCCCTGGGCCTGCTTTTGAGGGCATCTCAAGGCCTAGGATGGTCAATGGGCTGCTGGTCACAGGGTCGTGTGTGTGTGCAGTCCCCCTGTGTGGGATGGAGGCACAGGACAGAAAAGAAGGGAGCAGGTGTGAGCTGAGGCTCACTCTCCCGTGGCCCTAGATCAGGCCCTTCACTCCCAGAAGCCTGAGCTTTCAGCATTTCAACCTGGCTCTGCAGGTTACTATATAGATGACAGATAGATAGATAATAGATTGACAAAAAGAATGTCTATATGATACACCAATCAATGGATTGATCAATAGGAGGTCTCTGTCGGATGGAGCACATTTTCTTTAGGGGTGCATTTTTTTGACCCGAACTTTTAAATATTGAGGTACATGGTCCATGGACCTCTGTTGTACCTTGTCCTGGGCTCTGCAAATGGCAAGGGTGGGCCTGTCCTCGCTGGTGAGCTATGAGCCCAAGACAGGCCTGTCCTGGGTGCCCTGCCTCTGCCCTTCCCTCCCAACCTCATCCCAGAAGGCTGCCAGGGAGGGTAGAAGCCCAGCTTCTCACCTTCTTTGGGTGGTAGTCCGGAGATGTCTTTTGCACAGCGACATTGGTGAGGTGAACATCTGGCAGAGGTTGGTGGTCAAGGACAAGTGTGGACAGGAAGGACAAGACACCCTCCATAGTACCCCCAGGACTGAACTGAGACCGTTTGGGAATTGATGAGGAAAACTACAAAACAGCTTAAAGTTCACATATGTGGGCTGTGGAGCCAGATGGGCCAGGATTCAAATTCGCCTGCCTCTTTACTACCCGTGAGCCCCTGAGCCTGGGGCCCTTGCCCTCTCTGAGCCTTTCTGCCCACCTATTATAGTATGTTGGCTTCACAGGATTATTTGAAGGATCAGATAAAACACTGTATAAAAATGCCTCTTAGCCAGGTGTGGTGGCCCACGCCTGTAATCCCAGGTACTTGGAAAGCTGAGGCAGGAGAATTGCAAGTTCAAGGCCAGCCTGGGCTACTTAATAAGACTCTGTTTCAAAATAAAATTCTAAAAAGGGTTGAGGATGTAGCTCAGAGGAAGAACACTCCTGGGTCCAGTCCCCGGTCCCCACTCCCAACAATCACAAGTGCCTCTCACAGGGCCTGGCAGAGCTGATATTATGATGATTTTTTTTTTCAACTCAAGAGAGTTTTTTAACAAGTAGAGACACCAAATGTAGCACAGTCATCTCAGGACACACTGAGCTCCCTGTCACCAAAGGAGTTTGGACTGGGTGGCCACTAGTAGGAATACTAGAGAAGGGATTCAGCATTGGGATGGGGTCAGGTGGCCTTAAAAGGCCCAGCCCTGAGAGTCTGCTTTTGGTATAATCACTGTTGTTACCTTCAAATGACATCAGTGACATGGTGCAGCTCAGAGTTCACACACATCATCTCATTTGTTCCCAGATACTTCCCATCTAACACATGAGACTTTGGAAGCTCACAGAAGGCAGTGACAGCCATTTGAGATACCCCTTCCTCAGCACCCTCCCCCAGGGAGCAGGACGGACACCTGAACCTCATGAAATGACCACTATATGCAGCTTCCTCCAGGACTTCATTGGGAAGGTAGAGGCTCTAGGTCGCTGGCTCAAGTCTAGTTCCCCTAAAGCATGCTTCTCCCTGTCTGTCACATATGGGACAGGGCAGGGTGGCTTCCACCTCTTTGAGAAGGTGGGTTTCCTTGTTAGTGTCTTTTTCCTAGAATGTCATCTTCAGAACTTTTCAAAGACATTTTTCCTTTCATATTTGAAAATTTTCCTGCCTCCACTTCTAAAGAAGGAGCACACAGACAATCACTCCATAGGATGGAGCCCTCAAGCCTGTGTCCAGGTCATTTTCCAAAAGGTGCTGGGGCGATTCAATAGGGTGTGTGGGGGGGTGTCTTTTGAACAAATGACAAATGGAGCAGGAACTCCTGGATATCCAGGTGCAACAGAATAAAACAGAACCCCTTTCTCATACCTTAGACCTACATATAAGAGACAAAACTAAAAATTCTTAGAAGTATACATAGGAGTAAGTTGTACATTGGCCTAGGCAGAGTTTCTTAGATATGACACCAAAAGCACAAGCAATAAAAGAAAAAATAGATAAAATGGGCTTTACCAGAATTAAAAATGTTTGTGCTTTAAGGGACATTATCAAGACAGTGCTAAGACACCCCACAGATGGGAGAAAGTATTTGCAAATCACATATCTGATGTGGGACCAGCATCCAGAAAACATAAAGCATTTTTACAAATCAACAATAAAGAGACCAACCCATTTTTAAAAGAGCGAAATTTGAATAGACAGATCTACAAATGGCCAACAAACCCATATGTGTCATGAGGGAAATGCAAGGTAAAACTACTTCACAACCACGGGGGCTGCTGTAATAAAGTGGTTAGACGATATTGTGTGTTGGTAGGAGGTGGGGAAATCGGATTCCTTCACAAAATGCTAGTGGAAATGAGAGATTGTGCAGCACTTTGGAAAACAATTTATCAGTTCTTCAAAGGGTTCAACAGAATTACCACATGGCCAGCAATTCCATTCATAGCCATGTGCTCAAGAGAAAGAGAATAGCCCATAAAAAAGTTTGTACCTCTCTCTCTACTCTTTTAGTACTGAGGATGCAACACAGGGCCTTGCACCTGCTAGGTCAGGGCTCTGCCACTGAGCTACACACCAGCCCTTTTGCACAACAAGTTCTCAAAGCAGCATTTTTTCCATAATAACCCCAAAGGGGTAACAACACCCAGTGTCTATCAATAGGCAAATAAGTATCATGCCCCCTTTATTGGAATAGAATATTATTTGGCATCAAAGAGATAGGAAGCTTAATCCCAGCTACTTGGGAGGCTGAGGCAGGAGGATGGCAACGTTCAATTCAGCCTGGGCAACTTAGACCCTGTGTCAAAATAAAATAAAAAGGGCTGGGAGGCAGCTCAGTGGTACAGCACTTGCTTAGCGTTTGTGAGGCCTGGTTCAATCCATCTCCAGTACCAGAGAGAGAGAGGGGAGGGTATTGGTACATGTTACAATAAGAAAAATCTTGAAATCATCATGCCCAGTGAAAAAAAGGTGGACACCAAAGACCACACACGATTGATCCCACTTACATTAAACGTCCAGGACCTTGCACATTCTGGGCAAGCGCTCTGCCACTGAGCTACATCCCTGGGTCTAGGAAGATGCCTGGAGACAGAAAGTGTTAGGGTCTGTAAACAAGTCAAGATGGCACCTGGCATTTTGCCAGAGGGAGTGGTTTGTGAAGTAATGCCAGTGAGCCATTAAGTGTGGAGATTCCTTATTGGTTGACTGCTGTATCTAGTTTATGTTAATTAAGATAAGCTGTGTGGAATGTATATATACCCCTCCTGTCCTACAATAAAGGGCTCCCACTCCAGCTGTATCAAGTTGTTCATCACACCCACCCCCCCCCCTCCACCCCCCCCCCCCAGGTTATTTTGCTGCAGCCGGACTGCGGCAAGAAAGCAGTTACAAAGGGCCGGGAGGGGAGTCAAGGGGGCATGGAGAGTGCTGGCTAGTGCGTGTGCGATTTCTTTTGGGGGAAGATGGAAATATTCTTACTGACTGTGCTGATAGCAGTTTGATTATGATACACACCATTCCTTTGCTTGCTTTATCTGGGTGAATTTCACGCTGTACAAATTATATCTCAATGCTAGATATAGATCTCAGTATATAAATAAGTTGTAAATAAAGCTCAATTATATCCCAATAAAGCTGTTATTAAAAAAAAATAGGAACAAGAGGAAGCTCAGGAAAAACAAGTTCCTGACGACGATGCAGGGGAAGAAAGCTTGGCTCCCAGCTAGACCCGCTTCCCTCTGCTCCTTCCTGCAGGGGGGAGGAAGCAGGGCTGAGGGAGGAGAGCCAGTGGGCCAGCCTCAGCCCTCGCCTCCACCGGCATCCCCAGATCAAGTCCTGACGGACCCAAGAGACAAGTAGCAAGGAGCAAACAAGCCATCAAAATCAATCTGTGAGAGGTGCAGCTGTTGTAAAGTCTTTAGGGGAAGAGAACTTCCCTCGCCTAACGATGACAGTAGAGATGACAGCGGATCTCAATGGACAGCGACGGAATCAGCAGAGTGCAAATGGAAACAATCACATCAGGACAAAAATTAAGGGGCAAACCCAATGAGAGACTATGGCAAATGTGACAGCCTAACGTTTCTGCCACATGAAAATCTCCATAAATTGTCAACAGTAAAACGCTATGTCCCTAATAAATAAAGGCTGTGAAAACATAAAAGAGAAACTGTCCCTGGTAGAAGGCCATCTGGGAAAATGCTCAAAGTTTCTAGTAATAAAGGATACACAATGTAAAAGGAATGTAAATGAGGGGCACGGAAATTGATGAGATCCTGAGGCAGAAACCTCCTTCCTCATCAAGGCAGTTAGTTACACCTTTGTGCTTTTTCATTCTGGAAAATTTATAATTCAGAATAGTTGCAGGATAGCGTCACGAAGGCCTGGGGATTCTTCACCCAGTCATGCCCATTGTCTTAGAAATGGCTTTTTAAAATAACTGTCCCCAACAGTGGGGACCGGAGATGAAATGAGTGTGTTGGGGTTGGGGACATAGAGAGCTCCTCTGGAAAGAACCCGGTCAGATGCCCTTGACCCAGTATTTACTCCTTTGTCACATCATCCGAAGGGAAAAAAATGCAGTAAAATTGTTGACCAACAAAGTTGTCCCTTTCTCCTAGAAGACAATGTACGGTCGACACTACAATGTGTAGGTGCAGGTGCGACTTTCTCAATAGGACCCTAAAGCTCAGGAAGTAATGCCAAGAGTTAATAAATGGGATGGTATCAAATTAAAAAGCTTCTTCACAGCAAAGGAAACAATTAAGAATGTGAAGAGAGCCAGGAACAGTGGTACACACCTGTAATCCTAGCAGCATGGGAGGCTGAGGTAGGAGGATCGCAAGTTCAAAGCCAGCCTCAGTAACTTAGAGAGGCCCCAAGCAATTTAGTGAAAGCTTGTCTCAAAATAAGATATTTTGGGGCTGGGGATATGGCTCAGTTGGTAGAGTGCATGTCCCACATGCACAAGGCCCTGGGTTCAAACTGTGGCACCACCACACACAGAGAATATATATATATATATATATATATATATATATATATAATTTTTTTTTAAAGGGCTAGGGATATGGCTCAGTGGTTAAGCACTGCTAGATTCAATCCCTGGCAACAAACAAACAAACAAAAAAATAATGTAAAGAGAACCCATAGAATAGGAGAAAAATTTCCCTAGCTACTCTTCTGATAGAGAATTAATATCCAGGACATAGGGGCTGGGGCTGTAGCTCAGTGGTAGAGCACTTGCCTAGCATGCATGAGGCACTGGGTTCGATCCTCAGCACCACATTAATAAAATAAAATAAAGGCATTCTGTCCATCTAAAACTACAAAAAATTTTTTTTAAAAATCCAGAATATATAAAGAACTAAAAAAAAAAAACTAACACCGAGGAAAACAAATAACCTAATTAATAAACGGGCAAATGAGTTAAACAGACGATTCTTAAAAGAAGAAATACAAATGGCCAACAAATATATGAACAAATGTTCAACATCATTAACAACTGGGAAATGCAAATCAAAACTAGACTGAGATTTCATCTCACAGCCAGAACATGAACATGAACATGAACATGAACATGAACATGAATAAGCTGGGCATGGTGGCGCACGACTGTAATCCCAGCAGCTGGGGAGGCTGAGGCACGAGTATCAGCCAGCCTCAGCAAAAAGCCAAGGTGCTAAGCAACTCAGGGAGACCCTGTCTCTAAATAAGTACAAAATAGGGCTGAGGATGTGGCTCAGTGGTTGAGTGCCCCTGAGTTCAATCACCCGCATCCAAAAAAAAAAAGGAAAAGGAAAATAAAAAGAACACGAATAATAATAAATGCTGGAGAGGATGTGGAGAAAAAGGGACACTTACACTGTTGTGAGATTGTAAATCAGCACAACCATTACAGAAATCAGTATGGAGGTTCCTCAAAAACCTAGGCATGAAACCACCATATGACCCAGCCATACCATGCCTCGGAATTTATCCTAAAGAACTGAAGTCATCATACTATAGCTATGCATGCACACCCGAGTTTCCAGCAGCACAATTCACAATAGCAAACTAGGGAGCCAGCCTAGGTGTCTATCAACAGGTGAATGGATAAAGAAAATGTATCTATATACACAATGGAGTTTTATTCAGCCACAAGGAAAAGTGAAATCATGTCATTTGCAGGAAAATGGATGGAACCTGAGGATGTTAAGTGAAATGAGCCAAACTCCCAAGGTCAAGGGTTGCATGTTTGCTCTCATATGTGGAAACCAGAGAGAAAAAAGGAAAAGAAGGTGTGGGGGTGGGCAGGCAACTCATAAATATGGAAGGGAGGTCAGTAGAGTAGAGGAAGGGGACCAGGGGGAGAGGGGAAGAAAGAGAAAGGGGAAATATCAGGGAATGATATTGGCCAAAGTATATTGCATGTACAAATGTGTATCAAGTCCCACCATGTGTACAACTATAACACACCAACAAAAATATAGGAAAAAAGTTCCCTTGGAGCTTTGTATGTTATGACAGTAAGGAATTGAACAGTTCCCAAGTGCCCACGGCATGGAAGATTAGTACACCAGTACGTCCACTCAGTGGGATGTTTTATAATTTAAAAAATGTGCACAAGGAAAATACTGATGATAATGTTTAGTGAAGAAAAATTTATATTTATACACATGGGATCACTCATATATAAAATGTAAATGACAGCAAGATTTTTAAAATGTTCTACAAATGAGCCTGGAAGAAAATACACCAAATGCCAAGTAGTTTGTTTCTAGGAAAGGACACTAGAGAAGGTTTTTTCCTCTCTCTCTCTCTCTTTCTCTCTCTCTCTCTCTCTCTCTTTGTACTTTCTTGAATTTCCTGATTTGTCTTTAACAAGCTATACTACTTTTAGGATGAAACCCATATTATTGTTTTTATTATTAGAGTAAAACGTGTCAGTTGCAGACACAATTCATACTGTAGAGAAATGTATGAAGCTGAAAGTCAACGTGTCTTTGCCTGATTCTCATCCTCTGTAGTGTTCAGAGTTCCTAGATCAGTAACGATGAACTTCCTTTCATACATGTTTCCTAAACAGGAACACACATTTTTAAAAGCAAAAATAGGATTGCAAACAAACGGGCACTACAGCTTGCACTTCTTTCCACTTAGGAGTCTGTCTTGCACACCTTTCCATGTCATGACATTTCTACTATAGACTTTTTTTTTTTTGTACTAGGAATTGAACCCAGTGGTGCTTAACCACTGAGCCACAACCCCAGCCCTTTTTATTTTTATTTTATTTTGAGACAAGGTCTCACCAATTTACTTAAGACCTTGCTAAGAATCTTTGAACTCTCAATCCTCTTGCCTCCGTCTCCTGAGTCGCTGGGGTTACAGGAGTACGACACCACACCTGGCCTTTGACTATAAACTTTATTGTTCTTAACAGATGCACAACATTAGTAGGTGCTTTATAATTCAGTTCACCATCCCTCGAGGATGATTTAGATTGTTTTTACTTGATCATTATTATATACAATGGTTCAGTTAATATTTTTATAATTTGTGTATGTTTGCATAGGTGTGTATTTGAATAACTGTGTGTAAACTATATGTAAATATAATACATATGTTAAAATCAGGTTAAAGATATTTCCTGTTATTTTGTGATCCAAAAATTTATCTGCTTTTTTTTATATTATTTTTTAGTGATGGACACAACCTCTTTATTTATTTATTTTTATGTGGTGCTGAGGATTGAACCCAGGGCCTTGAATGTGCTGGGCGAGCGCTCTACCACTGAGTCACAACCCTGGCCCCTTATTTGCTATTTTAAAGTTGGCATTGTGGGAGCTGAAGCAAATGGGTAAAATATTAGAGTAAAATATGATAAATCTGGAGGGTAGATACATAGGACCCTGCTATAGTCTTTTCTGCAGTTTCTACACATTTTAATATTTTTTTCCAGATTTAAAAATCAAAAACAATTTAAAAGAAGGGGTGGAAAATAATGCGTATTCACTCCATTCACTCACTGTGAATGTTTAATGAGCACAGGCTCATTAAATAGAAACTGGCCCCGGGAGAGGGCTCAGTTTGCTTAATAATCCCTGAGATGCCTGGAAATGTACAAACACTCATGAATGTGGTGGTGCGGGGGTGGGGAACCCTGAGTTTACCCAGGGTCACTCCGGCAGGCACAGTTCTGTGTGCTTTGTACCCATTATTTAATTTTAATAACAAAAGAGGTGGCAGTAAAACTAAACTAAATTTGATGACTTGCATGTGATAAATGTGTGTTAAAATTATACAATAAACATGCAGAAAATGAGGTCAGCAAAGTAGGAAAAAAACAATTTGTGAAAAGTACTCAGAAGGGCCTGAGGTGGGTCCCTTGTTGAGGCAATGCCAATGCATGACCCTAGACAACCTCAAGTTAAGTGACAGAACCAAGGCAGAGAGGTGGGTTCTGAGATGTTTGGGGGGGCACTGGAGGTTGAGCAGGGGACACTACAGCTGAGCTATACCCCAGCCCTTTTGATTTTTCATTTTGAGACAGGGTCTAATTGCCCTGCCTCCGCCTCCTGAGAAGGAGAGATGAACTGACTAAAAACATTGCCTGGGGTTCCCAAGCAGGAAACTAGGCTGCATCGTTCTCTGTTTCCAAACACAGATTGTCTTCCACATGCAGGTAATCTAGCTTCTAGACCTTTCTGAATTGACTCTCCATTTTCTTCTAATCTCAGGCCTGGAAATCTTAAAAAGTTTCTCCTTTTTTGGCACCTGGGATTGAATCTAGGGGTGCTTAACCACTGAGCCACATCCCCAGCCCTTTTTATTTTTTAGAGACAGGATCTTGTTCAATTGCTTAGGGCTAAATTTCTGAGGCTGGCCTTGAACTTGTGATCCTCCTGACTTGGTCTCCTGAGTTGCTGAGATTACAGGCATCAGTTGTGCAGTACTGTAACTGGCTAAAAGCTTTTCTTGATGTGTATCATTTTATAGCTAATACATTCACATGACCCAAAAGTCAAAAAGTGCAAAATATATAGAAGAAAAAAAAATCTCCTTTTCACCTGTCCCTATCTACACATTTCTTCTCCCAGAGACAACTTTTCTTCCTTTTCTCTCTCTCTCTCTTTTTTTGTGGTGCTAGGATAGAACCCAGGGCCTTGTGTGTGCTAAGCAAGTGCTCTCCTGATGAGCTACACCATTAGCCCTGTTTCCAGTTTCTTGTCTGGCCTTCAGAGATATCTACGCACAGATAAACAGACATATATAGATATATAATTTTTAAACATAATTGGGAACATGATTTTTGCTATTCTATACTTTGCACCCCACCCCAGGCACCTATCAGTACATAAAGCACTCTCCCCTTTCCATTTTAATGGTTGCATAGTACTCCGCAGTATGAGTACACCATTTGCTTCATTGTTGCCTTCTTTTTTGCTCTCACAAGTGAGGCTGCAAAGTGCCTGACCTTTAAGCCTGTCTTTCTCTATATTGTGAGTATACCTGTAGGATGGAATTTCAGAGGGAAATTGCAGGATCAGGAGGCGTGAGAATCTGGCCTTCATAGATTTACCAGATTGCCTTCTAAGGGTTTGTGCTAATTTAAGCTCCCACCAGCAACAGAGGGATTCCCCCAGCCTTGCCAAGTCAGCGTGTTTTCAAAGTTTTGGTCCCTGACAATCAGATGGATGAAAATTGAGTTGTATTTGAGCCAACCACCAGGCATTAAAGAAAAAGGCATGCGCGCGCACACACACCCAGAATGCAAACATTTTCGGGGGTGATGGGGTGCTAAGCTGTCTGCTATTTTGCATATGAATAACATAAATCTTAGGCATCAGTCAAAACCTGCCTCAAGCCTGGCGCAGCGGCACGTGCCTGTCATCCCAGCGGCTCTGGAGGCTGAGACAGGAGGATCAAAGCCAGTTCAAAGCCAGCCTCAGCAACAGGGAGGCACTAAGCCACTCAGTGAGACCCTGTCTCTAAATAAAATACAGAATAGGGCTGGGGATGTGGCTCGTTGGTCGAGTGTCCCTGAGATCAATCCCCGGTACCAGAAAAGAAAAGAAAAGAAAAAAGAAATGCACCTGCCTTAAGCAAAGCAGTCTGCTCTGAGCTGCTTTGCGCCGCTCCCTCCCGTCCCCCCCAGCCCGGGATGCCCCGATGGAGAGGCCCGCGCCGGTCCTGTGCCTGTTCACGCTGGTCCCCCCCGCCCCCCCAGGCACCCAGCAAACATCGATGGGGTGAAGAGGCGCGGGGGCTGGCCCCTGGGTGGGACCCCAGGCTGTGGGCGGTGGCTGCTGGGACCCAGGATACACTGGTCGTCGATGCTGTTCAGCGTGAAGCGGGTGTTGGAGAACCGGGCGAAGCCGTCGCGGTAGAGCCAGGCCCGCAGCGGGATGTACTGAGGCGGGGGCGGGGGCGGAGGTGACCCGGGTGCCCGCTGGCACCCGGCACACCTCGAGCGTTGGCGCCTTGGGGTCCTCCACCTGGAACCGCCCCCTCTTCCTTTCTACCTCCTCCGCGAGCGCCGCGCTAACGTCACCCCTTGACTCCACCCCGTCCTTCCCTGGGGCGGTGGCATGCAGGAGGGAACCAAGGTGCTGGCCACCACGTATGACACCCCGCCAGAGTGAGAGGTTCAGGAGGAAAGGGGCCAATCCTGTCCCAATCCGTCTGTGGCCTTGTGCCCAGGGAGGAGTGGCACACCGAGGGCTTCGGCGTTTGCTGAATGAATGAATGAGTGAGGGGCGGGGGTGGAGCGAGGTCAGCGACTCCCTAGTTAAGAGAGCAGCCTGGAGCCAGGCTGTCTGGATTTGAACCCCAGTTCTGCCATTCACTCGCTGTGTGCCTTTGGGCAAGTCACTAAACCTCTCTGTATCTGTAAAATGAGGATAATAATAGAACCTACTTCACTGTGTTATTGGAAGGACTGAAGAGATACAACCTGCTGGGTACTAACTAGGGCCTGGTACTTAGTAGGTGCTCACTACATGTTCACTGTGGTTACCAGGGATGACTGAATGATAAAGAAGGACAGGCAAGCAGGGCATGGTGGCTCAGGCCTGAAATCCCAGTGACTCCGGAGAAAGGATCATGAGTTCAAAGCCAGCCTCAGCAACGGCAAGGCGCTAAGCAACTCGGTGAGACCCTGTCTCTAAATAAAATTCAAAATAGGGCTGGGGATGGGGCTCAGTGGTCCAGTGCCCCTGAGTTCAATCCCTGGTACCCCCCCCGCCACCCACCCCCCAAAAAGGACTGGCAAATCCAGATGTTGGAACACCTAGGATAGTGAAACTGAGGTGTATCTGGTGGCCCACTCCAGCCCTAGATGTCCCCTCTGAGCTCTCCTGGGCAGAGAGAGAGGCTCATACAAGCTGCTCTCAGGCTGGCGCCCTGTCCCCTGCCCTGGTGACTCACCGACATCACCAGCACATAGACACGCAGGTCAAACTTGCGTCCTGTCAGGCAAAGAAAGAATTAATCAGTGGAGCGAATACTGGTTACCAGATGTTGGGGTGCAGCAGTGCACAGACGGAGCTCCCCACAAAACACATGAGGTGCCAGGAGAGAGGAACTGGGGGTCCCTGTTGGGGAAAAACTTGTGACTTAGTGGCCAAGGAAAGCCCCTTGGGAAGCGGTGGCCTGCCAGTGAAGAAGGGGCCCACCTGACCCAGAGGGGCACAGGGCCTTCGGGCAGGACAGAGGCCCTGAGGGGGCAGAACCGGGCCGAGGGAGAGACAGGAAGGGGATGAGGGGCGTACGGTTGGTGGGGTCCCCACGATCTCTGGGGTTTATTCTACAAACCGCAGGAAGCTGCTGGAGGGTGTCTGATGCCTCTGGCTATTGGTGCCGCTGTCCAGGGAGAGGACAGTGGCCAGGATCGAGATGGAGGCAAGAGGGACAGAGTGAGAGGGGTGGCAGACAGCTGTGTGGGGGCTGGGGGTGCTGCTCAGTGGTAGAGCACTTGCCTAGCATGCATGAGGCCTGGGTTCCACCCCCAACATGCAAAACCAAAACCAAAAAATCAGACAGGATGGGGGGGGGGGGCGGGAGGGGAGGAGAGACCCAGGGGCTGCCCCCTGGGGAGGGTCATTGGCCCAGGAGATAGGGGAGGGGAGGGGCACTAACTCTGTTGCAATGAAGTGCCACCTACAAGAGCCCCCAGACCCTGTCCCTTCTCCCCTGTGTGGGCAAAGGGAAGAGGCTCCCTGGGCCTCAGAGAGGAAGCCGGCTCCACCAGGAGCCTTTGTCCTTGCCATTCCCTCTTCCTGTTTTCTCCCTCCAGTTCTACCTACAGATGACTCCCAGGTGTCACTGAGTCCCCTGACCCTGCCTGATTTACTTCGAAATGGCTGCAGCTGCTTGGATTCTTGTATTTCTTTGCTCTCTGGCTTAAGGCTGTCCCCTCACCTAGGGTAAAAATAGACTCCACAGGAGCAGAGCCACAGCGGGCACCCAGGCCAGCGGCTGGCACTGAGGAGGGGCGTCATACTTGTTGGGTAAAAGCATACGTGAAAGAATTGGTTCTCAAAGGAGAGTTTTCATGAATCCAGAGCGGGAGGGAAGGCACGTCAACCACAGGGAATCTATGGGCAGCAGCCAGGACAGATCTTTCCTGTGCATCCCCCTGCCCTGAATGTGAGCCTGGGCCCTCAGTCACAGCTAGTCAAGGTTTGCTGAGTGAGTGAGTGACTGGTCAGAAGGGCAGGGAGCTGGGCACAGCCATCTCACCTCCAATCAGGTATGGATTTTCGATGTAACGCTGAGCTACGTAGTTCTCCACAGGGATCTCATCCCTTTGGTCATCAGAATTTCTTGGGTCCTAGTTGCAATAATATTATTAACATTTATTGAGCACTCTTGTGTACAAGGAATTACGTTAGGCACTCTACTTGGGATATCTTTTTTTTTCTTTTTCTTTTTGGTGCTGGGGATTGAACTCGGGGCCCTTAACCACTGAGCCACGTCCCCAGAGCCCTATTTTGTATTTTATTTAGAGACAGGGTCTCACGGAGTTGCTTAGGGCCTCATTAAATTGCTGAGGCTGGGTTTGAACTCTCGATCCTCCTGCCTCAGCCTCCCGAGCCACTGGGATTACAGGTGTGTGTGTCTCTCCGTGCCCGGCCCTTTCACAATTTTTTGAAAGGAAACAAACAAAAACTTTAGTCCTTCAGTATCAGTGGCCACGGGACAAGTGCTCGATATGATGTCCACATGTGGCCAGTGGTCAGATACTAGACAGCTCAGATATGCTCTGTTGCCATCACTGCAGAAAGTCCTGTCAAGGTGCTGCCACAGGGCATCAGCAGCCCCTGAGGCCCGGAGGCCATCCCTGGCCCTTCTCCACTTGCCCACTCAGCTGGGGACGATGCCATGCTCTCACACAGGTGCACAGCCCTCCAGGTCTGCAAACTTTTTTACCCATTGTCCCCTTCACAGTCACCTGATGAGGAGCCCAGGCTCAAAGACAAGGGTCACATACTTCCTGGGCTCACACAGTGGCCCTGTGCTGGGAACGCTCTCCTGAGCAGACTCCCCGCAGACCCCCACACTGCTCCCCACCCCGACAGCCAGACTTCCCTCCAGGGACCTCGGCCACCCCCTCTACTCACATGGCTTCCAGAGGAATTGATGGAGTAGCAGGAAGGCTGGGCCTCGAAGCCCTGGAACTTCTTGCAGGCAGTGCCCTGACAGGTGCCCAGGGAAGAATGGGGACGCAGGCAGCAGGGGGAAGTGCATTAATTGAGCACCTGCTGTGAGCCCACAGGAGTCAGGTCCTCCAGCTCCCCCCACCCACCCATCATCTCACTGCCACGGTTCAGAGGGCTTCAGTGATTTCCCCAGGGACACATGTCTGTTGAGAGGCCGAGGCAGGATTTGACCCAGGATTTCTACTTGCCCAAGGTCACACAGCTATTGTTTGCAAGGTCAGAATTTGAACCCAAACAATCTGGTTCCAATAACCCTGCTCTGTGGGCAGGCCTGTGCTGGCTCTCTGAACTTGGAAGGGAGAGGAGGCGAGAGGGCAGAGGACATGTGGAGAGCAAAGGGAAAGAGGCAGACTCACCTTCCTCCAGTCCATGATGTCCTTCAGTCTCCGGAAGAGGAAGATGCCCTTGCCCTGGGACCGGGCTACCTGAGGGAAGGGGTGGGGGACACGGAAAGGCCACTGTCAGCTTGGTAGTTTCTTGTTGACCTCAGTACCTGGGAGCCCTCCCCAGCGTTTCTCTATGTCCTTCCCCCACCCCAAACCCCTCAGGCCCAGAAAAATGGTCCAGGACCCCCCCCCCAAGGCCTGGGAGAGCAAAGATGCTAAACACAGGAGGGAGCTCAGACAGGAGGGGGAGGAGAGACTCCTCTGCGCACAAAGACGCGCATTTGCATGAATAATGCAGAAGAGGAGACAATTAAAAAGCCATTCCTACAGTCCTGGGAACATATCATCCAATTCTTTTTTTGGAAATCAATTTGCCTTCCTAATTAGGTTTTGCTTCTGCTAATACCGCAATCAGTGTGCCTGTGCTGAGCTTCAGCATGGAGAATTCACAGCTCACAGGGGCTGGGGCCCAAGGATCTTGACTGCGCTGCAGAGTGGTCCTCCTGTGTGTAAGGGGGCCCCAGCGGCCCTTCCACCCTGGTCACCTGTCAGATCTTGCACATCCACAGTGCCCAGCAGCTCAGTCACCCTCTCCTCACCCCCAAACACAGCCCATCTGTTACAGGATAGCTTTGCAAAGTGTTCATCCAAAATGTATATATTGGGTGCCTACTGTGTGCTGGATGTTACGCAATAGCTGTGACAGACGGCAGGAAGTGTTCCCAGTCTAACCTGTTTTGAACTGAAATTTGCCAGCCAGGCCTGGCTTCTAGGGCCTCCTGGAGCAGGTCTGATTCCTGGAACCACCCTATGGTTATCTGTGGCTACTGAGCCTGTCCCCAGAGTCACCTTTATTTCAGCACAAATGCAACCAGCAAGTGCAAATTCTCATCTCTCTCTGTTCTCCTCTGAGCATGGGCCACCTGGACCGCCAAGGCCTTCTCTATAAACTCGGGGTTGGCAGAGCTGCCACAGGGCTGTAGGTTGCCCGTCGGTCGTGCTGAGGCCCCCTGCCCTGCCTGCCCTCTGTGCACCCGGGTTCAGGGTTATGTGTGCCCAGAAAACAAGGTGGACACAGTGAACAGGTCCTGGGCTTCCCTAGCCACCAGGGAGACGCAAACGAAAATCACACTCCCTGAGCAACAGCAAGTGCTGGTGACACTGGAGAAGCAGGAACTCCCACATGCTGGACAGACAGGCACATCCCTAGGAGGGTCACAGGGCGGGTCTTCCGGGAAACTGAGGCAGTGTGAAGACCCCCCTTCAAACCCTGATTCTGCGATCGAGTCAGAAAGATTTCAGACATGTCACTCGGAGTAACAGGCGGGAGTTTATTAAAGGGATAGGGAAAGGGATACTCCCGCGGAGAGAGTGGGTCCTCTCTGAGAGGAACAACGTGGCTCCCCTGCACTGGTTTTCCTGAGATCCCAGAGAAGTTTCCAGAGAGTCCCGCCCAGGTCCACCTCTTGGCTTTTGACTAACAGCAGCATGACATCACACTTTCAAGTCCCCACTGCCATGACAACCCTAGGCACTTTGTCCCATGCTGATGGGTTCTGGTTTGTTTTTTTTTAAATATTTTTTAGTTGTAGATGGACACAATGCTTTCTTTTGTTTATTTATTTTATGTTATGCGAAGGCTCGAACCCAGGGCCTCACACATACTAGGGAAGCGCTCTGCCACTGAGCTACAATCCCAGCCCCCTAATTGGATTCTTAGCCATATATTCTTACAGGTTTTATGATCAGGAGGAATTATGCTTATCTCCCTGAGTTTCGGGATCTGGTCTGTGGAAAGGGTTACAAAAATCCCCCCCTCAGGGAATTTGGTTCCTTTATTCAACATTATTTCGGGCCTGCATTTCTCCTGCAGACAACAGGTAGTTTGCTGAGGAATGTGACAGAGCCTGTCCACCTAAGCCAGGCAGGGCTGCAGGGAAATTGCTTCTTGGAAAAGAAAGCATGTGGGGGTCAGCACAGCGGGGCTGTCTTATATAATTATTCCCTTAACCTTGTGTTCCCACCAGCCTCATCTGTCTGTTACATGTCAACAGCACCATTCATAAAAGTGCCAACCTTGGAAATACTTTCTCAGTGGAACAGTATACAGCAATGACAGTTAGCAATTCCCAATTACTTACACCCGTAGGGTGAATCACATGACTAAACTGTTGAGGGAAAGAACTAGAAACTGTGGAAATATTCGTATTCTGAGTATATCGAGTACAGAATCAGAGAGAACAAATCTGTGCCGTCAGTGGCTTAGGGGGTCGTGAATGGAGGAGGTCAGAGGGGAAACGCTGAGGGGCTGGTAGGGTTCTGTTTATGACTTGGGTGCTGGTTACTTGGATGTGTTTACTTTGTCAAAATTCATAGCAGACCCCTATAACGTGGGCACCTTTAAATGTTTATCTTCAATTAAAAAGTGTCTTTTAGGGGCTGGGGTTGTGGTTCAGTGTGAGGCACTGGGATAGACCTCAGCAACACATAAAAATAAATAAATAAAATAAAGATATTGTGTCCATCTGCAACGAAAAAAAAATCTTTAAAAAAATGTGTCTTTTAAGGCATCTATGTACCCTTTGATCTCAGAGCCCCTGTCTCACCCCGGAAGCCATTCTCCCTCTCTTTCCTTGCAGGCAAAGTCCCTCTCTCTGTGATGGGGCTAGAAAGGCTTCCTGCTGGTTTTCCCAGCTTCCCTTGCAATTAGCATGAGCCAGTGTTGGGCTAATGAGACCTAAGGAGACATCTTCTTATCCATTCTGGGGAGATTTTCCTCTGTGTTAAAAATATAAAGAGAGAGGGAGGGGCCAGGTGCAGAGGCTCACATCTGTAATCCCAACTACTGTGGAGGCTGAGGCAGGAGGATCGCAAGTTCAAGGCCAGCCTCGGCAACTTAGCAAGACTCTGTCTCAAAATAAAAAAAAATAAAAATAAAAGAGCTGGGGATTTAGCTCAGTGGTTAACTAACCCTGGCACCAAAGGAAAAAAAAAAAAAGAAAGATAAAAGAAAAAAATTAAGAGAGAGAGCAGAAAGGGAACACAGGGAGGGAGAGGGGGCGTCAGAGAGACAGGGAGAGAGACGAGAAGAAATGTCTGGCCCTTCCTTCTTTTTTGCTTTTTTCCGAGGAGGTGAGGTCTGCAGTCACAGCAGCCATCTCATAGACATGAGGTGACAGATCTGATGACTAAACACAGGGAGGAAGCAGAGTGGACAGGGAGAAGACCCAGGGGGCCCTCAAGGCATCGCCATGCACATGCCCCAACCTGGAATGGCCGACCTCCAGCTCTCTTGTTGTGTGAGATGATGAAATGTCCTTATCGGTTAAATCACTGTAGTAACTTGACAAACCTGTTCCAAGAGATGCCCCCCCCCCAAGGGAATAATCTAAAAGTGAAAATAAACTTCCTGCACAGTAATAGATCAGGGTTGTTAAGACTGGAAGTCACCTAGAGCTCCGGCAGATGGTGTTTCCAAAACCAATCACAACATCTCCAGTCCCGTATGTTCTCTAGAACCCCACCAAGAGGTAAAGTCAATGTCCCCTCCCCTTGAGTGGGGGCAGGGCTTCAGTACGGTCACAGTTAATGGTGTGTGGAAGAAGTGGCAGGGTGAGAATTCTAATGAGGATCAGGAAAGACAATGTGGTTTCTACCCAGCCATGATGCAGAGCCCAGATGCCATGCTGTGAGGAAGCCCAAGTCACATGAGGGGCCCACAGGGAGGACAGCTGAGTCTTCTAGCCCTTACCCTGGCTGGGCTCCCAGCCAGCAGCCAGCACCATCTTGCCAACCCAGCGAGTGAGGCCAAATTGGAAGCATCCTCCAGCCTCAGCAGAGCTGCCCCAGAGGATGCTGGTGCACAGATGAGCCTTCCCTGTCAAGCTCCAGTTGGAGGCTCATGAGCTAAAAACAAGAGGTTATTATTGTTTCAGGGCCTTCCATTGGGGTGGTTTGTTACTCAGCAATAGGTAACCAGACTTATTACAATGATTATGTTCATGGCTGATACTTACCAGTTTACCTTGTGCCAGGCTTCTATGACATGGGCATTGATAGTATTCCCATTTTCAACCAAGGAAACCAAAGAACAGAGAGGCCAAGCATATTGCCCCAAGTCATCCAGCCAGCAGGTCATAAATCCAGGATAGTGAAATCTGTGCTACACAATTCCGGGACTCATGTACCTCTTGCAGAGTGCCATGGGATACACAGAATCACACAGCAAGCATGGGGTAGCTTCTGGGAATATTACTTGATAACTTGGGAGAAAATATTTTTACATATAAAGATACATTTATGATTGGAAAACATTTAAATGGATCATTAGAATGAAACATAACTTTGGTTTTGTACCAAATGTGGCCATTCACAGTCCTTGTCCCCTTGCCAAGAACCACATTTGGGTCACCCTGTGGGTTGTCCAGCCCTCTGGAGAGGTCTGAGCCCTCATGCTACTGCCATGGGATTGGATCAGGCGTTAATCTACAGCACGGGAAGTCTGCTGCTGAGACTTCTGGGAAGAGTTTGTGACTTCTTCAAAAGTGACACAAAACCAGGGCGTTCCTGTATTCCCATGGCATGTAGAGGTATAAGGAGGTGAAGGTAGAGCTGTGGCAACCACATTGTGCCCAAGAGGAACCATCTGCCTGTTGGGCTAGGAATTGATGGGGTTGTCGAGCTGCCCAAAACCATCCCCTGTCCAGCTATTCTTCATTAAAGGAAATTCCCCTGGACCTCTGAATTTGAATGAGAAAAACAACATCTTCCCTTTGACACCCTGCCATGTACCCTGTGTTCCCTTCTATGATGAGTGTGGTCAACACATCATAGGAGTATCTGCCATCAGAAGCAATCACAGCTATTTTTATGTATCACATTACAATTGTTGCTGATATCTCAAGATGCTGTTTATGCACCTGTGGTTTTGAAATTATGATAGTGCGGGGGTCTGCTGTTAATGAAGAGCACGTATATTCTATAGCACAGAGGGTCTTTTAATAATGTGTGTGGCAGCCCTGAGAACACACCTCACAGAC